CGAGAGCACTGTAGTTGTTCAGTAATGAAATTCATCCTCAAAAATACAACTTGCCTAATAATTGTGCACACAGTGTAGTGTATTGAATTTTGTAGGTGTGTACTTAAGTCTTTGATCATTTCTCTTCTCAAAAGCACTGGAGGAGTCGTGAATGCTAGATGGAAAGTCCTGAAATCATTATTGCTGATCATTTTTGTCTACTTTTGGCATTTTATTGTGAGTTCTGTAACATTTCCTAAAACTCCTTTTGAAAGAGTTTCATAAAGTGCTGCTGTCAGGAAACCAAAATCTTAAGGAACACGTATGGAGGTTCACTGTTTCTCTGGCTGTCTGCTCTGCTTGATAATCAAGACCGAGAAAATTGTTCAAATCCCTGTTTAAAGTTTCACAGCGGTTTCCTTCTCACTGACAATATGTTTTCCTGTGCTTTGCTCAGAAGCGGCTATATTTCCCATTATCATCAGATTGGTGTAAATCACCAAAACTTGTGGTGACTCCATTTCCTGTGGTCTATCTGTTCCATAGGTAAAGTCTGATTCATTCCAGTTTATCCAAGGCCCATATAAAAAAGGAAACAGCTGCAACAGAGGGTTCAGTCAGGTATCTAACTTTAGCACAATTGCTTTGAGATGAATACTTGCTAATTTCCATAGTGCTGGCTAAACAGTGTAAAAAAAAAAAAAAAGGCTAAATTCCTTGCAGAACAACCGTGAGGTCTAGACAATGTGGCTTCTCAATACATTCTTTTTTTAAAAAAGAGATTTCTCCAACTTCTGCAGGCTTCTGTATATGCATCATGCATTTCAGACTGTGCACTGTGGGACTCTTTTTCTCCCTCCAGATCTAATGGCCAGGTTATTCAGTGTCTGGCTACTGGAAGATAAACAGAAGAAAGGCAGGAGGTAATTATTTCTCCCTTACACGAGGGAACAGTAGATTGTTTTAAGAAAAATGGTCTGCAAAGCACTTGCTACTTTTGCAATGCCTTTACTTCTGCAGAGCAACTAATCTTGGGTGGTAATTATGAAACTGAATATAAGAAGCCCTATAACAGACTTTAATAAATTATTATTATTAATGAGAATGTTTATATTTCAAGGAGCATAGAACACCTCTATATAGTCTATATGGAAAAGTGTATTATATTAGGGACTTCATTCACATTTCCTGCACACTATACATATGTGCAAAATGGCGGACAGGCTTTTACATAGGTATATTTTACAGTCTTTGTACATTTTACACATAAGGAAAATGCAGATGGGACATTATGCCTGCATAGAAACATACAGTATAGAGTACTGACAGATTCAGTCTATTGCATCTGAAGTCTGCTAAACCAAGATCTGCTAATTTGAGGATTTATTGTGATAAATTAGATGAAGATATGTAAATATTTATCAGGTTTGCCGAGATCACAAAATTGGGTGGAACAGTTAACAAGTTAACCTTAGAAGAAGTACAATTCAAAAGTCTTACTAGTTGGAGAAATGGGCTGAAAATAACACAACAAAATTTAACTGGAGACAAACACAAGGAAATAGAAATAAAAATGCACAGATACAGGATGGGAAATATCTAGTTGGCAAGAGTATTTATTAAAAAGATCTTACAATATTCAAGGTTAAAAACTCCAAGTCAAGCTTAACTCTTGGTGACTATCTGTACACAACCATGTACTGTTGTTTTCTTGGCAACAATATGGAAGAGATTTGGCACTGATTTCTCTCAGGATATCTTTCGACTTTCCAGGGTCCTGCAGTTTCCTGTTCATCTCCCATCACAGTTCTAAGCAGGTTCAGTCTTTCTTAGCCAAGGCCACCTAACCGAATAAATGTTAAAAACTTCCTAACAGTAGGAGCAGCTCAACAGTATAAACGATTATCCAGAGAGGATGCGGGCTCCTGTTTGTTACATGTATTCAAGCAGAGGCTGGGCAACCCATCTGTCAGGGACAGTTTAATTTGGATTCCTGCACTGAATTAGGTGACCTAAATGACCCTTTCCAACCCTATAACCCCTTCATGGATCACTGCCTTGTCGTGGCGAAGGGGCTTGCGTAACTCAGTG